TCGATAGCTTAACTCACAAAGGCCCTAACCAACAATTTTTCGAAACTGTGTTTTTCACAGATTTTAAAATACAATTGCACTAAAAATTTGAACGTGTTAGTACCAAAAACAACGGAGTTAGGTATGCCACTTTTTAAAAAAACGTACATAGGTATTTGAAGTTTTTGATTTTCTTTTTATAATGTTTTTTACTTCTCCTTTAAATAATGAAGTTTTCTGATTAGGGCCTTTCTGATAACATAAAACAAACAAAAAATCACCAGAATATGAACTTTGTACAAGCATTACATTTATTTCTAATTTTAGTTTAATAAATAATCATATAAAAAAAATTTAAACATGAAAAAAAACCATTTTAAAACGAAGATTTGGCAGGTTTTTGATTTTTTATAAGCTCAACTTCTTTAAACACACATGTTGCCAGATGTTTCTTGCAAAACACATATCTGTAGCTAAACATTTATTTCTTTGTTTCTTCCCCGGAATTTAACAGAATCATTGCGATCCAAATGCCTCTGTTAAATTCCATACAAGAAACGTTTCAGATTTCCATACCACAATGATTTCCACTGAGTCGTTTGCACCAGAGAACATTCAACAACGAGAATTTGCTCTAGATCTAAGCAAAATTGATAAACTTTTTCCGAGTATTTAACAGCCAGTTTCACGAAAGCAATTTAAGTGAAAAATAATTTTAAGTTTTTTAATTCTATATGGAAATTTACAGGAAATTAACAATCATTCTCCATTTAAATTACTGGTGATAAATTTTTTCTACAACTCCTATCAAAAGAAAGCTCTTTCGTTTACGAAACTTACTTTTGTTATAAATTTTGCTCCTATTTTTTTAAGATTTACAGATTTGGTGTCTTCAAACTAAAAGAAAAGAACAAATCACCAAACTTAAAAATTTTCGCGTTTTTAATATAGAAAGGCACTAAATTTAGTGCGAAAAGCACGAAGTTGACAACAGTGGTCATTGGTATCCTAATAAATGCGGCAAAACGTTACCCCTTCTAACGGTAAACGGCAAAACAAGATATCTCTTTTTTCCTTGAATTGCCTTCTTGCATAGATACAAAACCTGTGTTCAACTAATTAGCAACGAAATTCAAAATGATATTGTTTGCAAATTATGTAAATTTTTTATTTTTAATAATTTCCATTTACAGTATAATTCAATTTGTAACAGTAACCAAAATGATACTAGTTTCAAAGCTTGCAAAAATTTTCTTCTATATAACACATGATCAAAATTTTTTTTATGAAGAAACATCACCACAAAAAGAAATCTAAAAAATTAACGGTAACTTTTAACGACTTGAGACTTGCACTTTCTTAGACTAAAATTTAATGGGCTACAAAACTGCATATTCCAATTGAACATTTTTAAATTTTAAGGACAATTTTTTGAAATTTTATTTTTTTTTGTTTTGCAATCTTTGCAAGCTTTGAAACTTGTATTATTGTGGTTTCCGTTACAGATTGAAATATATTTTAAACCAAAATTATTAAAAATAAAAAAATTTACATAATTTGCAAAGAATATCATTTTGAATTTCGTTGCTAATTAGTTGAACGCAGGTGTATCTCATTGGAATCCATATAAATGCGTCAAAACGTTACCCCTTTTAACGGTAAACGGCAAAACAAGATTTTTCCTTTTTCTTTGAATTGCCTTGTTGAATAGATACATATCTCATTAGTTGTTTTTTACAAATTATCCAGTAACTTGCCAGCAACTCTCCAGTAACTTTATTTCTAAGAATTCGCTCTCATAGAAAAAATTTGCAAAAAAGTACGTGAACGCTTTTCTAGTAATAATTTGCAAGTTTCATGAACGGCTGATAAATTGGTTGTTTATTCGCAGCAAATTCCTAATAAAACAATATATTTTATATTTAAATAGGTTTATTTTGTGAATTTCAACAATAAAAACCCACAAACAGTCTCCTTATTTGTTTTAATTCCATCCAGCAACATGCAATCAGCTCTTTTTCGTACTGGCAAATTCTTACAAGTGAAAATTTATCCAGTAAAAACTTGCAACTTCAACTGTCATTTTTCGCTCTCTCAATTTCCCCTACTTTGCAAGTTTTTGCGTACGAAAACGCCAAAACATGAAAATTCGTAAAAACTTTTACTGGATTTTACTGGAAATGAGTAAAAAAACGCAACTATTGTTATCCATATAAATGCGGCAAAACGTTACCCCTTTTAAGTGCCGTTAATTTGTACAAATGTAAAAATGTGGATTTGTGGTAAGTATAGTTCCGCCGGTAATTTACTTTTATGATTGCGTCAAAAGCTATCAGTTGTGAGAAGTGATCGGTCGCAAATATTTTATCGCGCTAAATAAATACAAATTTTCATCAATATTTATTTTAAATATTAAAATGCCGCCAATAAGGAAGTGCCGTGCTCCTGAATGCCACAACAGCAATGTAACTACGCGTATGTTTGCCTTCCCGATCGACAGGGAGATGCAGAAAAAGTGGAAGGAGAATCTTGGGATGTCGCTGACTGATGCTAATTGGGTCCTGCCTCCTACGAATCCGTTTTTATGTACGAAACATTTTGAGCAGGATGCAGTAGGACCAAAATTGTTAAAAAAAATGCGGTTCCCACACTACAGCTTGGTAAGTGTCACTCTTGTTATTAAATATTATTAACTTAGTACATGAATCTATCACTGCGGTACATACAAAACACATACATATATACATATGTATGCACATATACTCATATGTATGTACAGTTGCCCACAAAATATTTTGAACCAGTTTTGGCTATTTGTCTTTTGTTTATTTATGGCCTTATTCATAAAAAATAAAATAGAATTAAAGAGTTTTATAAAGTGACATTTTCATACAAATTTTCGATTTAAGTTAGTCTTTTATTTTTTATGAATTTGGGTGTAGATGTTTATTTATTTATTTTATATAAATTTACATTTAAATCTTTGTAGGTATGCCCATTTAATTCTAGACTAATGAAGTGCAAGTTTCAAGTTGGTATAAAATCTCGTTGATTTTTGAAAATTTTTTTGGTTGAAGGTGTTTCACGTTTCTTCCATACAAAGTATGGTCGACAATTTTCTTTTATACATATGGGGGATACTACCAGTGAAAAAATTGCCCAAAATCAACGATATTTTTTACCAACTTGAAACTTGTACTTCATTGGACTTTAATTAAATGGGCTACAAAACTGCATACCAAGACTTTTTCTAAATATTCTGTTTAAATAGTTTGAAATTTTGCCGAATTTTTATAATTTTTGTACAAAGTTTTAAATTTAAATTTATATGGTATTTGTTGTATAACCAGCTGGACCTTTGAAGAAAAAAGAAAAATAGTGAACATTAAATAAACAAGAGACAACCCACAAGACGACTGTATATACATATATTTGTACATATGTAGATGCTTATTAGAGTTAAACGTGTTGCGGTATACATATACGTTTATTGATTGTACANTTTCTAAATATTCTGTTTAAATAGTTTGAAATTTTGCCGAATTTTTATAATTTTTGTACAAAGTTTTAAATTTAAATTTATATGGTATTTGTTGTATAACCAGCTGGACCTTTGAAGAAAAAAGAAAAATAGTGAACATTAAATAAACAAGAGACAACCCACAAGACGACTGTATATACATATATTTGTACATATGTAGATGCTTATTCGAGTTAAAGGTGTTGCGGTATACATATATCTACGTTTATTGATTGTACATAACCATTTATAATATAGTGTGATTATGCATACATGTGTATATACAGTGTGAGTAAAAAAAAAATGCTTTTATAAATTATATTTCATTTTTTCGTAACGTTGCATTCAGTGCCGGTATAAAAAATAGCCATGCTTTGTTAATTGTAATTATATTCAAAAAGGTAGAAGTGACAACAAAATTTAGCTCTCTTTGTAGCTGATTTTAGGGTTAACGAATACAAAACATGGAAATATAATTTTTTATACGATTTCAAATGCATGCATATGTACGTTTGACACTTAAGTCGCAGTTCAAAAGAGAGAACTATCGAAATCACTTATATTTTTTTGAATATCCTTGGTAATTTGTAATTGAATTTAAGTAATCGCGGAAATTAATTATAAATTAAAATAAGGCAAATTATTTTGACCATTGTTTGTTTACGTTTTATTATAGAAATACAGCTTATTATCTAACAAAAACAATTGGGTTGTTCACACTTGCCTGGTTATCAGGTTATCTGGTTAAAAATCATTATTCTGTAATGTATGTTATTGTTGTAAACTGAATAAAAAAAGTAACCACATAATCAGATAACCTGATAACCAAGAAAGTGTGAACAACCCAAATATAGGTCCAAAGTTTAAGTGCAAGATTCAAGTACTTAAAATTCGCGTTGACTTTTGATATTTTTTTTGGAGGATACTTTTATTATTTTCTCCATATAAAGTGTGTTCAACAATTTTTTTGTATGGAAGAAAATAATAACACTATCCGCCAAAAAATTATCAAAAATCAACGCGAATTTTTAACTACTTGTAATTTGCACTTTCTTAAGCTGGAATTTAATGGGCTATGAAACTGTGTTAATTAGATTTTTTTTAGAAAATCCTAATAAAAAGTTTGTTGTTATAAAATTTTGTTGAATTTTTCTAATTTTCTACAAAGTGTGAAATTTGGACTTATGTGGTTTTTGTTAAACAATGGGAAGTATGCATAAAACCTAAGCAATTGCTTAAGACCCAATGAGCTGTATTTAAAAAAAAAAATATATATAAACATTAAAGGAACAATGGAAAATAGTCAAAATGTTGTGTTCCTATTAATTTTCACATGACTGTATATTAGTTTGATTGCTTGTGACTTATAGCTAGAGTTCAATGCTTCAAAAGTCCACAGATACATAAGGATGTACATTAGGGTAGGACTGCATTAGGGCCGTACGAAAATTTTTGTATGATGTATATTTATATACATAAATATTGAAAAAAAAAATTATAGGAACTTGTTCCGTTCGCCATGCGTGCCGTCCGGTGCAAGGTTTTTGCAAGCGTTTTGAGTTTCCGAAGACGGAGGTCGATCGGAACGAGTGGGCTTTAGCGTGCAAATTGCAGTTGCCCTTGCCTTCAACTATAAAGCTATTTATTTGCGAACGTCATTTTGATAAGAAATTTATTTCAACCAAGCGGTTGTTGCGTGGTGCTTTTCCGGTCTTCCACCTAACTGAAGATCAGAAAGGAAAAACAGAAATTCAAGACAATAGCGTCTCCTCCCAGTGGGTTATGCAACCCGTGACGCGCACATACTGCGAACCAGTTCAAGCATTAGAGACCGACCTAACTTTCGAGGAATTCGCCCTCTTTTCAGACGTAAAATATTCAAACAAAAACAAGTATTCAGAACAACAAAGCCCCCAGATTATTCAAAAAAAGAAGACGCATTCTGTAGCAGAAAATATTGCCTCAGATATGCCTCAAAAAGAGGAACCTATTTTCGCTGAGGAACGTCACGCACAAATATGTAGAGCTTACCAGAAGCGTGAAATTAAACAAATGGATCAAATAAAAGATCTTGAAGCACAAATTGCATTACTTTCGAAAAAGTATAAAGATTTAGAGAAACGAGCTATTATTGCCTCAAAGCAAGTGAGCATGCGATCTGGTTTGCTACCATGATTGTAAACACGACGCATTCGTACAACCAATCGGAGAAGACTTTGGACAAAACATTAACTATATGTCGTCAAAAGCATATAATTTCATGCGGGACGACCTACTGTTTGCTCTACCCCACAAAAAACCCCTCCTTCGTTGGCGCCCTATTAGGTCTGTTGCCCCTGGAATTGACCCGAAAGTGTTACAGAATTTGCAAAATATTACAAAAGATATGTCTGAAAATGAGCGCGTTTGCGAGATCATGCTTGATAAAGTAAGCATTAAAAATGACCTGACATACAACAAGACTCGTGATATCATTGATGGCTTTGTTGATGACGGAGAAGGTAGTAGGGAAAACGTTATCGGCATCAAATCTTGCTTTTTTATGATTAAAGGCATCCTTTCCAAATGGAAATATGTTTAACATATTTGATGTAAAAATAAAAGACTGTTTTCGCATAGAGCATGAGCCGATTTAAGAAAATTTAATAGAAGTTTGTACGTATACATATCCCGTACAAACATCTTTTGCAGAGTATTCTGAATTGTAGAGAAATTGGTAAATATCTCATCAGATTTTTGCTGAGTTTTCTAAAATGAAATAAACTGTGCACATTTTGATTCTTTTATGAAATTTCGGAAAAAAATCGGTAAGAGAATTAAAATAATGCTGCTATGTGAAGAATTTCTTGCAGAATTTTTTAAAAATTTTCTCAATTTTTCGTACAGAAATTTCTTTACGAGTTCGTGTCAACCACTTTATATAACTTTCTTTGAAGATTCGAAAAAAAATTATTACAGAAATGAGATACTCCTAAAGATTTCATTAAGATTTCGGGAACTTTAGTTTGCAGGGTCGATAGCTTAATTCACAAAGGCCCTAACCAACAATTTTTTCGAAACTGTGTTTTTCACAGATTTTAAAATACAATTGTACTAAAAATTTGAACGTGTTAGTACCAAAAACAACGGAGTTAGGTATGCCACTTTTTAAAAAAACGTACATAGGTATTTGCAGTTTTTGATTTTCTTTTTATAATGTTTTTTACTTCTCCTTTAAATAATGAAGTTTTCTGATTAGGGCCTTTCTGAATTAAGGTAACGCACATGTAACATAAAACAAACAAAAAATCACCAGAATATCAACTTTGTACAAGGCATTACATTTATTTCTAATTTTAGTCATTTATTATTATAATCATATAAAAAAATTTAAACCTGAAAAAAACACCATTTTAAAACGAGGATTTGGCAGGTTTTTGGCTTTTTATAAGCATGCAACTTCTTTAAACACACATGTTGCCAAATGTTTCTTGCAAAACACATATCTGTTGCTAAACATTTATTTCTTTGTTTCTTCCTCGGAATTTAACAGAATCATTGCGATCCAAACGCCTCTGTTAAATTCCATACAAGAAACGTTTCAGATTTCCATACCACAATGATTTTCACTGAGTCGTTTGCACCAGAGAACATTCAACAACGAGAATTTGCTCTAGATCTAAGCAAAATTGATAAACTTTTTCCGAGTATTTAACAGCCAGTTTCACGAAAGCAATTTAAGTGAAAAATAATTTTAATTCTATATGGAAATTTACAGGAAATTAACAATCATTCTCCATTTAAATTACTGGTGATAAATTTTTTCTACAACTCCTATCAAAAGAAAGCTCTTTCGTTTACGAAACTTACTTTTGTTATAAATTTTGCTCCTATTTTTTTAAGATTTACAGATTTGGTGTCTTCAAACTAAAAGAAAAGAACAAATCACCAAACTTAAAAATTTTCGCGTTTTTAATATAGAAAGGGACTAAATTTAGTGCGAAAAGCACCAAGTTGGCAACACTGGTCATTGGTATCCTAATAAATGCGGCAAAACGTTACCCCTTCTAACGGTAAACGGCAAAACAAGATTTCTCTTTTTTCCTTGAATTGCCTTGTTGCATAGATACATAACCTGTGTTCAACTAATTAGCAACGAAATTCAAAATGATATTGTTTGCAAATTATGTAAATTTTTTTTATTTTTAATAATTTTCATTTAAAGTATAATTCAATTTGTAACAGTAACCAAAATGATACTAGTTTCAAAGCTTGCAAAAATTTGCTTCTATATAACACATGATCAAAATTTTTTTATATGAAAAAACATCACCACAAAAAGAAATCTAAAAAATTAACGGTAACTTTTAACGACTTGAGACTTGCACTTTCTTAGACTAAAATTTAATGGGCTACAAAACTGCATATTCAAAAATTTTCTAAATATTCCAATTAAACATTTTTAAATTTTGAGGACAATTTTTTGAAATTTTATTTTTTTGTTTTGCAATCTCTGCAAGCTTTGAAACTTGTATTATTGTGGTTTCCGTTACAGATTGAAATATATTTTAAATGAAAATTATTAAAAATAAAAAAATTTACATAATTTGCAAACATTATCATTTTGAACTTCGTTGCTAATTAGTTGAACGCAGGTGTATCTCATTGGAATCCAAATAAATGCGTCAAACCGTTACCCCTTTTAACGGTAAACGGCAAAACCAGATTTTTCCTTTTTCTTTGAATTGCCTTGTTGCATAGACACATACTCATTGTTATCCATATAAATGCGGCAAAACGTTACCCCTTTTAAGTGCCGTTAATTTGTACAAATGTAAAAATGTGGATTTGTGGTAAGTATAGCTCCGCCGGTAATTTAATTTTATGATTGCGTCAAAAGCTATCAGTTGTGAGAAGTGATCGGTCTCAAATATTTTATCGCGCTAAATAAATACAAATTTTCATCAATATTTATTTTAAACTAGCAGACCCGGCGAACTTCGTCCCGCCCAAAATTAATTTTTTTAATGAAAAATTTGGACCAACGTTCGCCAGCAATTCACTTTCACGTTTGGTTTTGTGGTCGACAGAAGGCATATCCTCCATTGCCGTCTTAAATAATCTGACGAAAGCGTTATACCGGGAAGAAGTCCTTGCGGCTCAATTGTGAATCGTCCTTGAATCTGTATAGTATAGTTGGTGGCAATTTCCAAACTGGTGAGTATCATTGGTCCACATTCTGTTTAGTCAACGTAAAGCAAGGACCGCAATGGTTCTGATGGTTGATTTAACGCGGGTAATTTGACTTTAATCTTTGATACTCCGAATTGACGATTTTTAGCAATAACTCGGCTTTGCGCATCTTTTTTTGCGATAGTATTGCCCCTATCGTTACCAATACATATATGTCTCGAATATGAGTCAAATCGGATCACAAATAGGATTTTGAGTAATAACTCGACTCTAGCGCCACCTGGCGTTTTAAGTTGTGAACTTAAACTATACGTGGACCTACTCAAACACATAAAAGATGTCATTAAAATCGTTTCGGTCGTTTAGGAGGAGTCCACCTACCAGAATAAGTCTTTTTCATACTGACACTCTTCGGCATTTTTCCCATACAAAAAAATTCTTACCCATTCTTTATACGGAGAAAATGCGCAACATCATCAGCGAAAAAAAATCTTAAAAATCAACGGTAACTTGCACTTTGATACAAAATTGAGTGAACTACAAAACTGCTTACCCAAAATGCAAAATGATGCAAAATGAACTATATTTCTATAAAAAATAAACAAAAAAATATATTACGAAAAAGAAAAAAAACACTGTATTCTGGGTGTATACATATAT